GTTGATGCATCAACACTATCAATTCCCTTTACAATTTTAAACACCTCAATCAGATCCCCCTTCTAACTCTTTTTTTTTTTTCAAGTGAAAACAATTTGAGATTTCAGCCTCTCCTTGTATGACAACCCCTCCATTCCAGGCACTATTTCCAACAATTCAATGCCTTTTCTAAGGTAAGGAGCCCAAGACTGAACACAATATTACAAACGTGGCTTAACCAGTGACCTGTAAAATGAAATTATAAGCTCTTTAGACTTATATTCAATATTTTCGTACATACAACCTAACACTGGCAACAGCACACTGCTTGGATGGCTTTAGAGACTGATTGACTATTACACCAAGATCCCTTTCCTTCTTAACACTATTAAGGTTATTTCCATCCAAATTATACTTTATAATTCAAAGTATGATAATCCACATGCATTTATTATAATTAAAACCCACCTGCCATTTATTTGCCCAACTCACTAAATGATCTGAATCCTTTTGTAAACCGGCAGAATCCTCTTCACCGATAGCAACACCATAGATCTTAATATCATCTGCAAATTTCAGTAATTTATTGACTATTCCTTCATCTATGTCATTGATGTAAAATGAAAAAAGAGCAAAGGTCCTTTGGGTGTGTGTGTGATTAGATGACTTACACCCACTATTGTAAAATCAATATATCTTTACTGAACAATAGGTAGTTGGATGTACATAAGTAATATGCACACTTATAACATTCAAGGAATTTTTACATTCCTGGAGACATTTTTGATATTGTTGGTAATTTGAAATCAATTAAGTGATGATTATTTTTTTATCCTATGAACGTTTCAGAAACTCTGGGACTTAAAATGGCATTTTTAGTTCAAAAACTAAAATATTCTAGTTTCAGTAGGTTCAGTTGCAAATAATGAAACTCAATTTTTTATATATAACGATAAAAGTTGGTGCAGAACAAAAGATGTAGCAAATAGTATATTTATTTATTTATGTGTGTGTTGGTAATGTAGCATGAGATGAGATTCCATTTATTACCTAGAATGGGCACTTACTAGTAAATAGAAGAAAAAAAAACTTATGTTACAAACAGTTTAAAATTGGTTTCTGGTAATTCTCAGCTTACCCAAAATACTGCAGTGGTGGACCAGAGAAGATTCATGAGATTACTGCCCTACATGGTTCAACTAGTCTTATTAGGGATTCTACCTTCTCCCTAGTGTCTCTAGTTCTTGCAAAAACAGGTGATGTGTCCTATCCAGAACACACTATGATTTTTTGTAAGTGTCAGATAAAAGAAGTTCTCTCATTGGTTAACTCGAAGAAAGTCACTGGGAGAGTTATTTTCTGAATCGAGTCAAAATGAACTTGTCCAAGATCTTATGTTCTCCCATAACCTTTCAATGCTCATCAAAAGTAGATGATATATACCATTTATGCCATGCAAGAGAGTATCCTTAATACCAACAACCCATAATAAACACCATGCCTTATCTAGGACATGCAAGAATATGCCCAGAGCACCACCCCGTGATGGGTTCTGTATCCATTTCAGAGAAATTCATTACTATTGACATGTATGTTTTAACTCTCCAAATTAAAGGGTGCATCCTGAACACTGACCCTTTCCAGATATTTTGTGATATTAAAATTACACTTGAAATGGGAATACATTATTACAGATAACAAGTAACAAACCTCCATTTTATCTATGTGCAGTCAATGAGGAATGATGGAATATGTACCTCTGGAGGAGGGCTATGTTGATTTTTACCTTTTTTTTGGGGGGGGGATTCACAGGTGAGAAAACTAGCAGAAAAAACTCTCAGGAAGAGGCCTAGAAGGATGGAGAAAAACCTCGCAACAGTGTCTGCTGCTGTCAGTTGTTAAAATAAAGGCTATATTTGACAAATTACATGTTGCAATATACAGGTTACTTTTTAGAAAAAAACCTCTTTTCTAGAGGTGCCACATTATGATTTATTATGGCCCATATAACCAAATACAAATATGTATTTCAAACACCTTCTACCTAAAAACAGACAATAATCTTTCTTACTCTGTAACTCTTCACTTCACAAGTCACTCTGAGGTATAATACGATATTTCTGAAGCAGACACTCATGGATTTTTCTATTGAAATGAATTTTATGTTTTAAATGAAGAGCAAAAAATTCTATTTCTGTAAATACACAATTCTTTGAGCACTTATACGACTTTTAAAGGTTTGCTGGGAAGCCTTGAGGAAAGAAATCTGGAAGGAATTAACTCTTAGTATGACACAAGCATCTGAAGGCCAACCTAAGACCTATTATTGAATATGGAAAGATCAAGAAAGCTCACCCATAAGGCTGTGATGCTGCCTATATTCCAAGAAGCTGCTAAAAGAGCCAAAATATTATACTAAAGTTTAATCAAAGTAAGAAAATGGAATGAATGGAAAAAGTCTTAGACTACAGAACACCTATAATGGTCCAGTGGTGAGTGTTCCAATTCATGGACTAGATAATTCTGAAATAAAACTTATTGAGATCCGACATTCAGCTGTTAGTGCTTCCTATGCAGGAAGAAAGAGGGCACTTTAGCTTGGGTTCTAACAGATTGACAAACCAGTAACAAGACGTAAATAGGAAATTAATGGAATTCTTAATGAATATTGGAATAACTGTGATACACCATAAAGTTTATCAAGAGCACCCGACAACAAGACCTCTGATAACCAGAATGCAAGCTCTGTTCTTATTGTCAGGGAAGATTTCATAGTGAAGAAAAGAAAGGACATAAATAGTAATAGAGCCCTATCCAGAACATGGAAAGTGATAATACATCCAAAACCTACTAGATCATATTAAGACAAATGAACAGAAATGCCGAGGAGATATGTAAGTTGACCATTTCATAGGTAAAATACTATAATGTGTTTGTGTCCCATTCCTCAAATAGATTCAGCTTATCAAACACAAAATTCATATAAAAATGGGTAAACAACTTTTATGATCAGATTTCATCAGTCTTTTATTCAGTAACAATATACCTCTTTCAATTGTGTGAACATGAATAATTTCCAGTCATGTTTTATCTATTGGAGATGAACCTCTACAATTAATTTATAAGTAACATTCTTGCACATTTACAATATAAACAAAAGGTAGTCCAACATTACACATTTGACGGAACTATTTTGTAGCTTATGTACAAATTTAAAGACAACTCATAAATTCAAACCATCTTTTTTTTTAAACCTAAACAACACACCATCTATTATAATGTACACTAACATTGCCTCTATCTCTATTTGATTTTGATACAACAAAACACTTGTTTAGGCTAAAAATATGAAGAAAGACTTAAATCTTATAAAACACTTAAAACAACCTTTCCTTTCCTTCCTTCATAAAATGTTCAGCATTAAAAACTGATACTACTGTAATCTGTCAATACTGGCTTCTAGAGTGTAACGCTTAGCTGTAGTTTTGGTTTCTGCTGCTCTGGTTTAAGAACACTGGTATACTACAAGTATTCAGATTAGAAGACAATTTACAAAATAAACAAATCACCAATGTCGATGGAGCCACAGTATTCCTTTTAACAGAAAATACAGTGCACTCATTGCATATAAAATAATTTCTCTTTGCTGTTTCTGTTGGTTCTCCTGTTCAACTGCAAGCATGCGGCGACTCAAGTGACGAACTTGGTTACGAAGAAGAGCAACTTCTTCTTCGGTTTCTTTTATTGCTAGTCCATCAGATGGTTGTGAAAAGGGTAGATGAAATCTTAAAAACAAACAAAAGGAAACCACTTAGACCATTAGCATTACCTCTAACCCCTAAACAATACATATTCACTTCTAACAAAAAATGTAAAAAATCTAAACTATTAGCACACCTCACTTCTTAAGACAAATTAATCTACAAGATGGCAATTCTACGGGAAAATAATCTCCTTATAAACAAGTTTAACAAAGATTGTATGTACATTAACAGTACAAAAATTAGTAACCTACCAAAATAGACTGTAATTCCAAATGACAAAATCATTCCTATTTCACTATACTTCAGCTAAAACAACAATTATTTAAGCTTCTCGTTGTTGAAATTCACATATTTATCAACTCTACTAGCTCTTTTTTTTCAGTCCTTTAGCAGTGTGAAAACCCTCCTTTATAAAACAGCAACAATAACCGACTCTTAGACTTTAGAAATTTAATTCTAATCAACAAGTAAAGCATTTATGCAAAGGTTTTATGTTTCTCTTAACATTATCTGTTTTATGATACCAAGCAAGTCTTTTCAATGTTTATTTTGCGTATATATAAACATACTCATCAATATTGATAATATCTGTGTTTGATCAAAGTCATTAAACATTTTCTAAATGAAAACAGCATTCTCTTCAGTATCTGCTTTCCCACTAATTTGACGACTTCAAAAAATTTACAGGTAATCTTATAACGGAGCTTGCGATGTATACGGCTAAACAATCTAATCTCGAAAACTGCCACATCAATCATAACTGGTTAATATTTTTATATCTAGGCAGTATTTTTATAGCTGAGCAATAAATAAAACAATTGAAATTTCCATAAAAATGCTGTTTCAGATTTAAGCAATAAAAAATTGCAAAAAATGAATAAGTTTAAAATATAAAACAATCAAAAACAAACTTAAAATTATGTTTCTCTTTAGTGAAAATGTCACGAGAGTTGCAACAGAAAAGCAAGACACTTTCATTGATAACTGCATCTACTTCAATAAAATCTATTCTGTGATGTAATGCTGTGATGATAGCTCATTTTTAAAGTAAAACGTCAATAAAATCATTTTTCGCACGGATGGTGAACATTATTGAATGTCAAATAGGAGTACATTGTTATGGAGCTGTCAGACAATTCCAGAAAACGTTGCAGGCCTGTCTTTGGGCCACAGGTCCAATAGCCTTTTGCAGAAATTAGCAGTTAAACCTGCCCAGAACCTTGGGTATTTCTGCTAGTAAGTATAAATTATTTAAACATGGCAGAAATTAAGCTAAATTAACAGATAAAAAGAATGAGACAACCATATAGTTTCATATGAAGAGTATAACATACATTAACCCGATAAACAGCAAGTAATTATAAAACTTGTACAAGTCCTTAACAGCATCTTAGCTTTACTCAGTATGAAATTAAAGTTATGATATTCTATTGAACATTTCAATCGGATAATATTAGCTTCCATTAACAAAAGTAAAAGAGAACTCTTAACTTTTTGGATATTCTTTAGCATTACAGAAACTATTCCAGTTGTCTGGCATTTCTCTACTGCCCAGCAACTCGTGAAAAATAACAACTAAGTTCTCTCTCTCTCTCTCTAGCAACTTACTCAATGTCTTTAGTTATAGAAGATATCTCATTAGGGTTAAGGATTAATACTACAAAAATTCAATTATCTAAGGGTAGGGATAAGCATGATCCTTTTATAATTTTGTTTATGTGCATAGATCCATGGTTCTCAGCTTGTGATCCAAGGACCACTATGAGTCCATGACAGCAAAGATATTAACATCAAATGTACTTTTCCAATCACTTAAGACATAACTTCAAATATGAGTTACCTTGTACGATAAATACAAAACAACTAAAAACAAGGTTCATTTCAGTCAAATATTATTTGTTACATGACAGCCATACCTGGAGTGGGCTAATTTCTTTGGGAAAATATCTATATCTATTTGTCCATTATGATTTTTCTGTTGAGTTCCACCCGACTCCTCCTCAAATATGGTAGGAAAGTGATGTTCCCCTAAGGTCAAGGTATGCGGAGGAGTGTTTAGATGGACATCAGACTTTTGTTCATCCAGAAAACTGCACTCAATATTCATTTCAGGGAAAGGTTCTCTTCCTTCCACATGGTGATTACCTCCTAAAAGCAGATGCCGTTACAGTCAAATGTAGCGTCTTTCAAAAACGTTATAATCCAATGAATTCAATTTAATGCTATGACTACATTTAAGAAAATATTTTCTAATGCAAACATTCAGCGACAGATTACACCAAAGAACACTTTTATACGTATGTGTAGAAGAGTCGTGTTTTCTTAGCATTATTCTGTTTACTCTTTGATTATCAGAACCATACTTTTAAATAAAAAAAAACTGAACCATACATTTACAATACATTTAATTAATAAATATTTTTCACCACAAAAAATAAGAAAATGTTTTCATAAAGGTGTGCAGGAACGTTACGAGTCTTTCAAAACTGAATATGTTACGGCAGTGTATGATACTGTAGTACACAGATAAACCAAAATTTGTGACAACGTAAAATATCTGTGTGCATCTCTTGTAGCTTCAGTTCACATAAATAAACTGATGACTAAAAAGTAATAGATTCAAACAAGATGTAACTGAACACTGATGTTTAAGTCATTTTGATGCTGAATAAAGTTTGGTTTATATTTTATTCTGTATTTAAAAAAAAACCCACAAAATGTTAAGACTATTTCCCTTATGCTTACAAAAGACAATGTCCACTTACATAGAAAAAATGTTCAGAACCTACCTATCTCGAGTACAATGATATTTCTGACTTGAACTTTTACAAAATGGTCAATATACATACTATTTGTTAAAGAAAATGAATGGTTTGAATGTCTTATTCTCCATAGATCATGTCAAATAGCTCTTTTACTTACATGCTACTTCATACACATTTTCAAAACACAAGTAGGCAAAAGTAAAATGGAAATCATAATTTCTCAGTTATTCTTTGTTTATGATAATTTATTTTGTGAAAAAAAAACTTTTTTTAAATATAATTTTAAAAATAATGTATGACACAGCTTTCAACTTATTTACTGTAAACCTTTTAAACACAAGCAGAAAAATGTTTTGTCATAATAATCACACTTGCTTTTCCTTGTATGAAAGCTGAATTAGGTGGACAAACCACTGAAACATTAGAACAAAAACACATGAAAAATGTGTGTTTGAGATTGGTAAAAATAACTATTTTCTTATATATATATAACTGCTAATAAAATATTCTGTATGCGCCACCTATTTGTTCTAAGGAAAATATATATATTTTTGATTTTTACCCACATGAACAGTAATGTAGCTGACACAACACTACCAAATGATAAACATTCAATTTCTCATACTCAACCGTGGAGTACTTATTTTTGTGTTGAGATAAAAGTAAACGTAAATATTTTGAATGATTATGAAGTTGTCCCACTTCTCTGTACTTACTGGAGTACATTTAGCAATACAGTTGTAGTCGTTCATTGTATGTAGCTGGTTTTGTAAGGATTAAACACCTCAGTCTCTAATATTCATCACAAAATTTAATGTTAATAACTTTACCTACAACTAGTATCCTTTCAGGAACATGCATAAAAAGATTTTTTGGGTCATCTACTGTAACTGGTTGATTGACAGTGGTGAGAGGCTCCTCCATGAAACTAATTTTCTGAGGGACTGTCATTTTTGTATTGATTTCTGCTGTGAAGTCATGATCATAAAAGGAATCAAAACTTCCCGAAAATCGATGTTCCAGGTTCTCTCCTTGAGACATTTCCTGTATTACCAACAATATAAAGCATATGGATATACTATTAAAGAAGTATACACTGATACTCATAATTAATGCTGAGCTGACAGCCTTGCAATAATTTCTTTGAAATTCAATTTAATCTTATAAACACAATAATATAAGTTTTACATTTTATTTTCTTGCTAGTAGTTATATTAACAATACAATTTTTTATCATCATATAAAAATACATACAGTAGTGACAACCACAAGACTATAATTGTACGCAACTGTCTCAATGTAAGTTAAGTGCCGAACCTATACAATACCATCCAACAGTCAAGTAATCCCAAATTCCCTAGCACACAAAAATTTGTGCAATTTAGCGATACAAATATGTAGGTGTTGCAATATCTTTAGCAAACAATTAAATGTATTGAAAGTCTAAGCCACAATCACTGCTAAAATATGCTATAATAATACTACATAGCAAAAAGCCACTTATATTATTATATTTTTATTATCAAAACATAATTAAGTGAAACAACACAACTTTTAAAGATAATACATATGTGAATTTTGTTCATGTAAGTACAAGGTACAAAAAATCCTCGATAAATGTTTATTTTACGTTGCATTTAAAATTAATTTGTTTGAGTGAACACATCTTAGGAACATAAAACTCCCATTATTATAAAGGTTTAAAACTTATTCATCCTTTATGCTCTATTGCTAGCTTTTTTTTGAATAAACTTCTTATTTTAGATTTTTTTACACAAGTCGAATAAGTTAGTGTTACCTATTATTCAGAGTTGGAGACAACACATCACGTGTAAACGTTATTTGATGGGATATAAAATTTACTCTTTCACCTTTATTGATGACACTGTAAAATATGTAATAGATCTGATGAAAGATGGAAACAACTATACATCCGTTACTTTATTGAATATACATATTATAACACCTGGACTCAAAATTTAGGGAGAAGTGGCTTATTCTTACAACTCAACGGAGACACAAGTTTGGAAGGGCAAGGTGATATGGTAAAGATGATGTGAAACAACATAATGATGAGTTTTTAATAATGGCACTTTCTGAAAGAATCAGATAAATTTAAAAATAAATGAAAATTTTGCTCTTTTGTTACAATGGAAAAGTTAAACTAGTCAAATTAAGATTGGGTCATGTTATTTTATACATTTTTTGACAGTGTGATTTTTCTTTTATAACCTGGTTTTTGGGAGTAGTCATGTGACAAGAGTGCAAGGACATAACGATGAACATCAGGGAAAGCATCTTATAGGTTTTCTTTACGATTAAACAAATTTTGAGTTACTCATTTCATTTTTGTTAATTACCCCCTTCTTCACATCTACTTACTGAATTATTATTCTTCGGTCATTGCTATCTGTCATCTTGGCTGTTATTTTAATAATTAGTATAAATTGTTATTTAGCACAGCAGTTTTCAAATCTCAAAAATATAACAACTCTTTCATAAACAGTTATCAAAGAAATGTTGGAGATGCAATATTTTCTTGTTTAATTAACTGTTACTGACAATCACAACCACAAACGAATTATGTGCACAAACGTAAAGAGAGGTAAAGTGTTAAAAATTGGCCACAATCAGAATGACGTTTGTTTTTGTTGAATGTTGCTCAAAGCTACACGAGTTATCTGCACTAGCCATCTTTAATTTGAAATGATAGACTAAAGCCTTGGTATTCCTATGAGTCCCATGCTTACTTTTATTGCAGCCCTCAACAAGACAGTTATCAATGTAATAAATAATTTTTTGAAACAAGTTAGTGTGCACTCCACTGCGAGGTTTGAGTTCTGTTAACTACCTACCACTAGTCATGTGCACTTGTTCATGCTTGCACTGAAAATTTCTAGTCATTACTCACAGATTTTGCTCCTCTACTTCAAAAATAGAGCCATGTAAGTATAATTAATCTTTATTTTCTATTTTAATTATTTTTAACTTGAATTTTAAAAACTTCATCGTAATGCTGAGGTACATTTAAAAAATATAGCACCATCTAGGTGTAATACATATGATTATTCTTGCAGCCCTATTAAACATTTTCTATATCTGAATTAGCCCTTGGCAATTTTCTAATGAATACCACTGGACTAGAGGGGAAAGTAGCTTATCAACACCAACCACTGTCAACCCGAATAGTAAGATTTGACTATCACCTGTGGCCACAAAGTGTAGAGAGTATGGTGTGAATTCCCTATGTTAAGGTTTCCTGCTAACTGTTTATGGCTAGGTAGTCTTTAAGTGGACAGCTACTGTGAAAGGTATTTTCGAACAACAACAGTCTATCTGTTAATCTAGTAATGGCAAGTTGATGCAAGGTTGTGACATACTAAGAACGGAGTGATTAAATGCTTCTGGTTCCACTATCAAATATGCCTACCCTGTTTTGGATTGCTTTACTTGCTGCTAATGCAGGAATCAAAAGAATGACAGCGTGACTAATTAATGTCATTGGTTTGATGCTTCATATGAATTCCCCCTTCCTCCCCAAACCACAGGATGTGTAGGGCAAGATCTTTTCCTTGCACAAAAATTTTCCTCGTCCAGTGCCCTACGTCATCTTCAGTAGCCTCGACAAATAATGCAGATTTTGTGAATTCCTTGGAACTGTTTATTGATACATAAGACACAACACAAAGGACAAACCATGCTCGTTGGATATGTGACATTAACTTTGAAGACAAAAACATTACTACACACACATTACACATGTTAACTCACTCACCTCAGTGAGTATTTATACTCTGCCAGTACAAAGATCCTTTCCTAGTGCAACAATGTTGCCTGTTCAGTGCAGTAGTTTGTCTACAATAGCTCAGGAACTATTTATTGATAAGATATAACACAAAGAACAAACCATGCTCGTTGGATATGTGACATTAACTTTGAAGACAAAAACATTACTAAACACACATTACACATGTTAACGCACTCACCTCAGTAAGTATTTATAGTCTGCCAGTAAAAAGATCCTTTCCTAGTGCAACAATGTTGCCTGTTCAGTGCAGTAGTTTGTCTACAATAGCTCAGGAACTGTTTATTGATACATAAGACATCACAAATGACAATTCATTAACACTGGACAAGTAACGAAGATGAAATGCAAGTTACACGTGTTGAATGTAATAATTAGTTGACAATAGGTGTCATGCTATGATTATGTAATGAATAATTATCAAAAGATGCCTGCACCTGCTAACTTCATTCCTCACAAGTTGGACATTTTTTATTATTATACAGCCACAAGTACTTATTCAGCTGAATGCTTGTGGCAATTAAAAACTTCCATATGCATTTATTTTTTGGTTTTCTACAACCAGACATGGCTTTGTTTCATTAAATCAAGAAATATCAGAACAAACCTCTCACTTCACAAGTAACAGAATTATTACAGGGCACTCACTGTTATTGAAACTAAATTTTACGGACTTCTAAGCTTCACTTTCAAATAATACATCCTCTTTTTTTTTTGTCATAGAACATTATTTAAATGTGTGCCCATTAAAAGGTGGTGGTTTTCTTAAAGTTTACAAGATTATTTGGGAGATAAACAGGATCTAAGCCCCCAATTTCTTTGTGCAATATTCTGAAGATAATAGGATGAGAGAACAAAAGTTTAAGACTTGAAAAGATAAGCTATGCTTCAGTTAATATGACAATTTATTTTTATACCCAGGTGACTGATCTATGGAATAAGTTGCCATCAGCAATGGTGGAAGCTAATACGTTAAATGAGTTTAAGAGGAAAATCAATGACTTCCTGAAAAGGGTGGGTTAAAATCTTTACTTTTCCCAAAGGTAGATGTGCAAGAATAACTTTGAAGGGCCAAATGGTCCCTCGTTGTCTGTAGATTATGTTATGTGAGGTAGTATAATAGTTTCACCATTATGTACAGTCTGCTATCATAAAAATAACAGAAAACAACAAATGTATTCAGCTCGTAACTGTAAATGCTAACATTATCACCCTGCCCTTTGTCATCTTACACTTTGTAATGCTTTATTTTTTTGTAATCTGATTGAGGGGTTTGAAATTGTTAAGAAAAGCGATAGTGTTAATGCACCATGTTTTTCATACTTAATGGTATGAAAAGGAGAAACAAATATAAAGATAGGCAGTATAGGAGCTATCCTCGACTAAGACAACTTAATTTTTCTAACAAGGTGGTTGACCTTTGGAATGGATTGCCTTGATAAATATTAAATGAAAAGATCTGGTCTTTTAGGTTTTTTTTTTTTTAAAGTTTAGGGGAGGGTAAAGTTTGATGGAATAAAAGGCCCCCTGTTGGCCTTAAATGTGCTCCATCTCCTTCCAATGCAAAACATAATTTTATTTACAAAAAATAATTATTGTTGATTGTTATTCCTGAAGCAAGCATCAAAAGTTGATGTATGCTATCACACCAATCACATCCAGTACCGTTTAACAATGCAACAGGGAAAGGCATGACTCTTTTGTACAACTTACAGGAAAGAAAGATATATATATATGTAAGAAATAACTAGTTTAATAATATAACATACAGACCATTGTTTCTTTAAGACTGTCTCTGCAGCCCCACAGAAATTAAAACCACTCATATATAAGAAATAACTAGTTTAATAACATAACATACAGACAAGAGACCATTTGTTTCTTTAAGACTGTCTCTGCAGCCCCACAGAAATTAAAACCACTCATTATTTTGAAGAAATTAATTTCCCCCTAATATTTTATATGGCACTAGTCTTCACTACTGCTGAAAGCAATTCATTCCATAAACTAATCACTCTGTTGAAAAAAAAAGAAGTCTTAACTAAAGCCTCCTCTGCCTTTTCCAAACCATAAACTCTTATTCTTTCATTTTACTGCCTTTACAACTCAAGGGTCTTAATCTTAACAATCCCCCAAACTTTTACTTCAGTAAGATCATCTCTTACCATTCTTTTATCATAAAAAAATAAGATATTCAGCTATCCACCATCAAATAATCCTTCAATGCCTGTAATCATCTAGTACCCCTCTTATGAACCCTTTTTAATAAGTCAGTATCCTTTCTTAGATAAAAGGACCAAAATCAAAACTATGTACCATAGTTCAACTTAAAAGTGAGTTCTAACTGATTACTTATACAGAAATAATTACTTTAACTAGTAATCTGTATGTCCATAAATACATCCTAAAGTTCCTGAAAAAAAAGTAGGCACAAGTTTTTATTTTTCTGAAAGATGGCCTTGCAAAAACAGTCTTTTAGGATCAAATGGCCCCTTGTTTTCCATATTTTAAGTTGCCTGCACAGCTCAACATTTACTACTATAGTACTTGCATAGCAGTAGACTGTTAAATTGGAATTAACCTGCTGTACTTCTATTCCTTTTAGTGTATAACTACAAGTGCCTGTGGTCTAGCAAATTGTTTAAAACTTACCACCTGAAAACTCTGCTGGCTCTATGTAAGTGTCTACAAACTATGTGTATCAGAATAATAGCAATGAAATGTTTGAAACATTGTCAAAATTTTAACAACTAGAGGAAATAAATCATCCTATAACAGAGCATGATCTAACAATTAGACTGTGCCATACAAAAACAGTCTAATGAATTTCTTAAAATTTAACCTTCAACAATTGTGCTAACTATATACAAGGATTTATGGCATATCTTCTCAGTGTGTCAGATTATGTACATAATAATATTTTGATGTTACTACTTGTTTCACTCTTAAACAACATTCATTTCATCGTACTAATAGGTTTATATGTTTGAATATTTATTTCATCATTTATCTTATTTAGATATTAAAACTTGATTATTTATAAGTTATTTTCTTTGATACAACTATTACAAATGTATTCCAATTTCCATTCAATTTTTCAAATATATTACTTAATTATTATAATTGTATTAATTACCTTAAAATACAATATAAAATTATGTCCTGCAATATATGAATGTAATTTAATTATTTTTTTTATAAGGATATCTGCCAATATTCACTCATCAAAACAGTGTTGCCTGGCTCTTGCCAGGTGGAATCTCTTTTATTAGCCTTCTTTGTTTTTCTTTTATAGGCTTCTTTTATTTTTTAACAAGTTCATAATCAGTTTATATTTGTTGCATCTAACTATATACAAATATGTAAACTTCTAACAAGTACATAGATGGAAATATAATATGTACTGTCACTGTAAGCAACTTCCATAGTATGTTTAATAGGAATTAATATCTGGGCATGGCCCTGGTCATCTTTACACATTTTCTTTATTCAAGTTTCTTTGCTAGTTTTAGTACCATAGGCAACATGTATTTTCTATCTCTTTAGGTCAAAGACTATTTCTCTCTCTATTTGACTTCTAAGCTAGTTTAAGAAATATGCCTGTTTTACCTCTGGTTTTAAAGCGCCAAACTAGCTGATATACCTTGAATTTTCTGTATGACCTCTATAGCTCAAAGTTCCAAAATCTCAGACAAGTTCATGAACTATCATGAAATTTTTAAATGAGCTGTGAATTTTCTAGAACTGTCATCTACAGACTTTCTTTAAAATATAATTTTACGTATTTGTAGTCGTTATTATTCCATAAATATTTGTTCATTTGAGCAGAAACACCAACATAAAAGGTGGTCTTGTAAATTTTCCTCAAAAATATTTTATGAATTCTGAATTTTCTTCCTTGTACTTGTTTTTGAAGGCACGCATCCTTTCTTCAAAAATGGTACAAACCATCACTGACATCAGATTTCCATCTATATACTGCTTAAAAATTTACCATAAACACACTATACTTAATAGTATTCATTTTAGTCTGATACATAAACATTTTCAAAAGTAATCATATACAGAATACATAACATTAACAGTCAATTTTATATATAGATGCAGATAATAAAACAAAAACGTATA